GTGATAAAACATTATAGTAATTGCATTCATTAGCTATATATATATATATATATATATAACCTTTGCAAGCTATGTAGAATACATTTGATTTGTCATGAATGTTACACTCCTAAATTCACAGCTTGTTTCAGGTTCCAAAGTGTAAAGTTATGCATTCAGAACAAGTCAGAAGTCGCGAAGAAGCCGTAAGGAGTGATAAAAGTCGGTACTCTTCAGCTCAAAGAAAGGATGTTGTGAAGGGCAGTGGAGAAACTTCTAAATGTAGGGACGTTTTTCAAGGTAGACCAAATCCATCCCATCCTGCTTTTAGAAGCAGTGAGCACCAAAAGAGAATGGATGGAAAGTTGAAACAAAAATCTTCATCTTTGTCACCTACGTCCAGTGGTGAAATTGGTGTGATCTCCAAAACCGAACTACTCCAGTTGCAGAGAATAGCAAGACTTAAGCCAGAAGAAGTTGAGGAGAACAACAGAGAGTTCTGTATAGAAGCTCCATCACAGAACGTAATGAGGAACGCAGAACTGGAGAAAACAGAGAGACGAGTAAAATCTCTCCATGGTACAGCTGGAGAAGCTCCCACATCTCAGCTTTCAGTTGTTGATCCCTTGTAAGTAATACTTTAGTCAATGCCAGTTGAATGTATCATACTCTGCTTTTAAAGGTAATCCCTATATTAGTAAGAACTAACTTTAGTCATCAGATTATTAACTCTGCCAGAGAAATATGATACCCTATAACCCAAGTGCTTTTGAAAGGTCCACCTTTTGAAAGAGTTCAGGTTATAGGATTTCTTGAACTTGTGTTTTTCTAACATCGTGAACTCTGTCAAAGAGAGTGATTACATCATTTAAAGAAACAAGAGGGAATGCTCAATAGCCCTGGCACTTGAAATTCTTTTAGGCAGGATTAGAGTAAATTAATCTATGAGACCTTTGGCACGGACAAATACATCAGTCGAAACGATTTGACCTCCTGAGTCCAAAACTGTAATTGGATCTCAAATTGGTCAAGAGATGATGGAACTATGAGCTAATAAACATTTGTATTTGAAAAAAGCAACAACTCGGAGCCAATTCTATGAGTCGCTATGTTGCGGATAAAAAGTACAAATTATTGTTTATCAGTAGACAATGGTAGCTGACTTTTTTACGTAACTCATTAACTGTCAGTTACATAACTCATTAACTGTTAGTTACATAACTCATTAACTGTCGGTTACATAACTCATTAACTGTCGGTTACATAACTCATTAACTGTCGGTTACATAACTCATTAACCGTCGGTTACATAACTCATTAACCGTCGGTTACATAACTCATTAACTGTCGGGAGAATTACCTTCTCCCAGTTGAAAGTGTGATACTTATAAACTAAAAAAAAAAGGTTTGTATCCGTGAATCTTTTGTTTTTGTTCAAGAATAACAATATTTTTTTCAGTACATAAATCATGTGTTTGTTTTACTTAATAAAGTAAAGGTATTGAAAAAAAGCTCTTCACAAACACAACATAAGTTATCAGTTTTAACTGTTTCGTGATTGGGGCTGGTGAAAGCTACAAAGTCATCTATTATTGGTTTTTTTTCTTTTCTTTTGCAAAATCTTTTACCTTGCTATTGATCTGCCAGATAATAATCAAAAAAAAATATTTAGAATTTGTGTTTTAAAATTAATTATCATTATTATTAAAAACCGTAGATTGCTCAACTGAGTCGTAGAAGGTTTATGGTAGAAATAGGGACATGTTTGGATAGGATGTATGAAAGTCGTGTTTTTCTTTCAAACAAGTAACTTTAATTCTTCTAATATAATAATAAGTTGATTTATGATCATAATGAAGTGTTTTTTTTTTGGAGATACATACTATATGTTTTGACAAAACATTGGTCTGTCTTTTTATGAGTAACTCAAGAAGATAGACCAATGTTTACGTTACAATCTGTTTAATGTTAATTAGACAATATACGCTCTTGTTCGATGAC